ACTGTTTTCTCCCCTTAGTTTGTATGCACACATATCCTCTCTCCCGTGAGTCGTAACTAATTCTTGGTTTTGCGTCGCAGCTCGTCAGTACATCCGTTGTCCCCTCTTCTTGGTTCCCCCATTGATCCACAGCTCGCCTTACAACCATTTGGGCAACATAGAAAGTCAGTGACATTCTTTTTTCTTTATTAACTATATTAGTCGGGATGTATATTAACCCTTCTTACAGGATGTGAGTTGTTCTAGTCTACTCTCCTAACATGCCCGGTTTATTATTGTTAAATCCACCCCAGTTTTGCATCCAGGACCAGCCGGGGCTGAGCACCTAGCACAGTCGGGGCACAATCTTGCTCGGAAAGGCCAATCTGTGGCCGGTGAGTATTATACCTTTTCTGTTTTTTATTTCTCAGCGCGTACTTACACCCATTACTAACTGCCCCATAGGTTAACTGTCTGCTATTGGTTATTCGTTTAATCCCTTTCCTTATTCGATTTAGATACTGGCTCGATGCCCGCTTGATTTTTGAATGCTATTGGTTGTGTTTTTTTCTGAATACTATTTTTCGTGGGGGCTATGATATCATTTTCAGGACGCCGGGATTTGGTGGAGTTGGCTGTCGGTGGCTACTGATGTTTCCGTTACTCCTGTAATGTTCTCTTAGGAATTCTATCGCTTGACAACTCTATTACCCTCAGAATCCATCACAGAGTGACCCAAGTTTGTCCAATAATACATACAGTTTGGTAAATTACTATCATCCAGAGGACAACCCGATAATACTGGTGTGTAGTTGGATTACATAGCGTGAAAAGCCGCCGACGATTACTCTCTTCTCGACCATCATACAAATATTTTCACACACAACTAATTTTGTACCGGCATGAGGCCTTGGCTGGAGATATGCGTCAAGAGGCGATGGATCGGAGGCGCACAAGAGGGGAGGGGTGGGCGCCGGAGTGAAAGCCAGTCAGAAATCGCGAGGTGCTTCTCGGCATGCTCTCCCGATAGTTCGTTCCTTCGTTCGCATAGGCTCCGGGACCGCGCTCCGGTTTCCGGTGCGCTATTGCTCTGGCCGCACTTTGGCTTCCGCCCGCGCAGTTTGGCTTTCTGGGGAAAGCACTTTGGCTGCGAGACTGCACGGGAGTTTTGCAGAAATGCATCCACCGGAAGGACAGCGGGAAGGCTGGAAGGCAAGTGGAAAGGCTATAAGGAGGGTCGGAGGCTATGGGTAGCGACAGTTTGTCTTTCCTTTGCTACAGTAGCTTCTCTTGTTAGCTAGTGTGTGGGAGAGGTACCTGGGGAGGTTAGGGCTTCCCCGTTTTGTGATTGATATATACTCCTCTCTTTACCGTTAGTTAGTTGAGCGTGCGCGATAGAAAGAGGTTGACAAAGTGAAGAGTTTCCCACCCCCCCCTTGTGGGTCGTGCGATCGCTTCGTGTGTGAGATCTTGGCGTTTCGTTTCGTAGTGTTCGTTAGGTGCGGTTTAACAGCCTATCTTTAGCTCGTCCGGCCCCCTTCGCCGTTCACTGTCCCTTTCGCCTTTCGTTGGTTAGTTCTTTCGCTATCGCGATAGGCCTCGCCGATCCGACACCGAACAGTTTGATGGAGTAGGTGTCCTCCGGCCCAAGAAGTATTTTCACTGGCCCCTTGTGTCCATTCTGGGCAACCCATATGAGAGGTGAACTATCCACGCCGCCCGCTTGATTGATATCACAACCCCCCACCTCTGCCAACCTAATCACAACCTCAACAATCCCAAAGATGGATGTGTAGTTATCATACCCGTCGGACACCATCCGAGGAAGCAATTTCGCGCAATCCGAAAGTTCCAAGTTTTTGAATGGGCTCCAGCCTCCAGGTCATGAGAGACAACTAAGGGTTAGGGTGTGGCATGGTTCCCTAAACCCCAACCACGGATCTGATAGAGTCAAACGGCATGGCAGGCAGAAGCCAGGGCTATCAGATGCCGACATTGATGCATATCACTCTTCTGGACCCTCGCTACCATACACCCATGCAAACTGCGAAACACCCAAACAGCAGAAAGACGATGATTGGAACCAAATGACAAAAAGTTTTCCTCCATCTCGATACCGTCATGGTGCCAGACATCCTGTAGGGCAATCATTTAAACTTTACCTACCCACCGCCTTATATCCATGGGCAATAAATGGGGTCCGGCCAGGGACTAATAACAATAGGTAAGTATGACATGATAAAAGTGATAAAAAATGCTTGGCCCGTGCTGCCCCTTAAGAATATCTTTAAACTCACCGACGTTAGTAAATTTAACACACCGGATAGGGAAGTGAGCCACCCGGGGAAAGTGAGCCGGTGAAAAAACACCGAAAAAGCCGAAATCTAGAAATCACAATTGACGTCCAACGGCAGGCAGAGGAGATAAAATATTCCCGATATGATAGTACAGCATATCAGAGTGACACTTCCCCATGCCGAATTTGGGGAGAGACATTATTTTGCCAGAAACTCCACCATAAGGATTCTCGAGATGGTAAGGAGAACGGAATCGAAGAGTTATTGTCACAAGTTACATGGCATAAACTATCTTGGCAGCTATAAAAAAGAACGGCTACCCATTCCAGCGTATAGGCACTGATAGCTAGTCAATAACTACTACTAAAACGCCACTCCAGAGCAACAAAACAAGGCGAAAAGCGATGATGATGGTTCCCCTCTCAGTACCGGTATCTAATCTAACTTACCCATCCACCTGCCATTCCTCACTCACTCGCCAGTCGCCAGTCGTGGTCGATCTTTTGATCCCCGCTCCTGTCGTGCACACCCGGATCTCCCGGGGATATGACACCGTGCAAGCACTAACCGCAGGAACGGAAGAAGAAAATTTTAAAATTACTGTCAAACATCGCCATCCGTCTGAAATCCTACAAATTCAAATTCAAAAAATTTTCACACAAAAACTTAACCCCGTTGTCCCGGTCAGTTTATTCGGGGGGGTTTTTTTTTGTCATCCGGATGGCCATGTGCGAGTGTTCGGTCCATGGCTGTCTAAGCTCTCGTATGCTCTCGATAATAATAAAAAAGAAAAGAAAAGGAGAACAATCAACTTAAATTACAACACTACTCAAGTACCGTTAGACTAGAATACAGTACGCGCTTCGCAACACTCCTTTCTCCCGAGGCGTGGCGAATGCGGGGTGTTTCATGGGGACTTTTATCACGTGACTGAATGTTTATTATGATGGTATATTGTTGACTGCTTCGATTGCCCATCCCCCCTTTCCCCGGGCACGATAGATGTACTATGTACAGTACCGGTACGATGCTCAAGTACAAGGATCATACCGTATATTATGCAAAAATCCGAATAAAGGGATCACGTGCCGGGGGTGGTCCAACCTTCCCCCCTTCCGGCAAGAAGACACCGAAGGACTGATGAAGATGGAAAAAAAATAAGCCAGAAGAGGCGTTGGTGGGAGAAGCGACCACAATCTTACAGCATAAACTCCACTCGCTGGAGTTCTGACGGTACGATACCCGAGTGTCGAAGTGCGTGATGGTCACTTCCGCTGACAAAAGAACGGGGCAAGTCATTACCCCTGTCCTCTAGGGCTCCCTCGATCCGGATGGAAACAGAACTATCATGCTTTGAGGCAACCTGCCGTACATTACAGTGATGCATGCGGTAGAGTAATGATATCGTGATCCACCCAGGTTTACTTGATCCACACGGTCCAGGTATTGAACTACCCCGGTCTGCAGAACCCGCACTACATACCGGTACTGTACTCTACCTACCCTCCCACCATGGCCTCCCACCGCAGTCAACAAAAAACTACATGACTCCATGTACCCCATATCTCACCTATAGGCCAGCTAACCAAGACTCCTCGCCCACCCCCCGCCCTAACCACCAAATACATATTCCGCATAAACTTGGGAAACCCCCGATGCGGACGAAGCCCTCTGCATGCAGCAGCAGCAGCCAGCCGGGGTAAGACACTCGTTCAACACAACCTCGACAAAGCAGCCCTAGCTCCGGGTGCAAGGGAGCTGGGATTGGCGGAACGGAGAAGAAGAAAAAAAAGGTGAAAAAGAAGGGTAGCGGCGTACTTGCGGTGCAGGGTGTGTAGTGGCCTTGGCTACGGAAAGAGAAGCCCGGTGAGTCTATAATATGATATTGGTAATTCTTGACCCCACAATGTCCACCTGAAATTCACAATCAGTACTGTACAGTACAGACTAGCAGCATGCTCACCCACCAATGTCCCCAACAAGCGGAAAAAAAAAAATCCCCAAAGCACCACAAACCCAAACCTCAAGCTGCATCAAAACCAACCCCACACGGTTCCAACCCCTCCAAACACCGGAAGCAGAATTGCAAATTTCCAGGGAGTCAGGATGCAATCTCCGGTCGAACCGAACCAAAGTTCTCTCATGGGGAACCAGGTGAGCCATCTCTCGTGTTTCCTGGAGCTGGGGTTGAAGCATGCGGTCTGGGAACGAAGGAAGGGAAGAAGGGGGGAGGGGAGGAGGGAGGGAAGGAATACCGGTACTGTACTGTACTGTGCATTCCGTATATATTGTAAACTTGGGTTGTATGGGGTACCTACAGCACCGGCCATAGCTTCCGGGAACATGTCCGTTCCACAAAAAAGACAGAGAGAGCAGGTCGCAAACTATCGGCACAAGTGTTCCGAATCGAATAATATCCATATTACCCATTACAAGTCGTCTCGCATCGAGCGTCATGCACTATCCCCCATCCTACCATGTCGTGTCTCGGGGATAACTCCACGTCTCCAAAAGCTACTGCGTGACAGGGATTCTTCACCCCCACAAGAAAACGCCTTTTCAACGACCATCTCGCATTCTCACGGCTCGGCTAAATCCAGGAGTGTCGTCATCTCGTCTAACGGAACCTCTCTAGACCACAAAACTAGAAGTCGGGCAACAATAAACGCAAATAATCAACCCCCAAAACCCCCGGAAAACATAACAAGCAAGAAAGGTGAAAAGCTAGATGGTATAGGTGAACTCTGGATGGCCCTCTATAGGCTTGTCTAGGGTCCCCTCCTTATGCTGTCTGTTCTTTCTCTTAAAGTAAACCGTCATGAAAGCCAACAACACCAATGAGAGGAACTGACAGCCCATAGTGGCCCAGAGCCCATTGCGGTATTTAGGACTGTCCTTCTGTCTATACACCGTGCTGGCAAAGACACCTCCGATCGCGCCAAAACCAACCTGCAATGCCGAGCCGACACTGCGCTTAGAGTTCGTGCGGATGTTGTTTGATTGGTAGGCGAGCAATGTCGGGATATTGTTCTGTGCTCCAGCCACTCCAAGGAAGATACCAAAGTAGCGGGCACCATTGCTGCTAGCGTACGCTGTAATGCTCATCCCGATGATGATGAGCAGACAGCCAAGTACGATGAAGGGCGCTCGGAGGCGAGTCTTATCGGCGCACCATGCGAGGGAGAAGGCGACTGCTACAGCTGCAATGTAGGGCAGAGAGGTCAGAATCTGGGACATGCTCGTTGAGTACCCCATGCCCTTGAGAATGATAGGCATGAAGTACGCCAATCCGTAACCCGGGACCGCGGCGCTCATAAACAACAGGGCGCTTTTCACGGAAAATGTAAGCTTCAGGCAGCCTTACGTGAGACATTGAGTAAGCGGGTGAACAGAAACTTACTAGGCCCAGAGCTTCCAATCCGAGAGGTGGTGGCCTACTATGCTCCATGTTAAAGGGTCTGACTGGGAGTCGTCACGGTCCCGGTCGATACGGGCTTTGATAATTTCAATGTCCGATTCAGTCAGGAATGGCTTGCGGCGTTGGAGGAGCTTGTCCGGGAAGTCGACGATGACAAAGTAGGCCAGAAGAGCAACGATGACGGTAAGAACACCTTCCTATACTCCCAATTAGCACAGCAATCCGTGAAAATCTCAATGTAGCCCTCGGAACCCACAATTATAAGGATCCACCGCCATCCGGCAAGTCCTTGAATTCCGTTCATGTGCATAAGACCGTAAGAAAGGAGTGAAGTGAATCCACCAATGAAGACGGAGAGAAGGTAGAACCCGGCAAGTCTACCATAGCATTAGCGATTCCTTGTATATAAGAGAATTTAATCTAGGGGGAGAGCGGGAAGGGGCTTACATACCGCTTTTGCACCTCATATCTGACATACCATGAGGAGATCAAGTAGATGCTTCCGGGGAAGAATCCTATACAAGGATATCAATCACCTTCCTTGCACCCCTCCGCCTGCCCAGGAGGGAGAAAACTCACCGGCCTCAAAGAGCCCCAGCAGGACACGACAGAAAACCAATATCCTCCAATCCTTAATGAACCCCATACCGATAGTCACAGACCCCCAGGCAAGCGCAATTGAACCCAACCAGACCGCAGCGCCGACCCTCCTGAGAATAATGTTGCTTGGAAGTTCGAATAGAAAATACTACCCATTCAGCATCCCAATTAGGCAATCCGCTTCCCGAAACCTTGCAGGAGAACAGATTAAAATTTACTCACCGGGATGAAAAACATCAGCAGAGCAATGGAAAACCGGTCCCCGACATTGAGTTTCAAATCCGACATCATACCAGCAATAACCGCATTTGAGATATTGGTACGATCAATCATGGAAACGGAATAGAGTGCTGCGAGAATTGGGATGAGATGAATGTCGATTCTGCGGCTATATTACCCATTGGTTCAGCCAGAGCCGTCCACAGGAAATAGCAAACGCTGGTGGGAGGAAAAAAAATACACAAGTTTCTTCTCATAAACTAGATCGATTCCAGGTTCTTCGACAGAGGAAGTTTGAGGAGAAGTCACAGCTCCCATACTGTCGGAATGATCGTAGTTAACTTTTTCGTTAGACATGTTGAATCGCTTTTTTTTCGATTTCTTGTTTAAATTGACCTAGTTCATTCGTTGATCGCCTGGTTGTTAGTTGATTGATTGATTAGCGGTCGTTGCTAGAGCGAGACGTGTGAGGAGGGAGAGGAGGGAGAGTGGGAGAATGAGGTAAAAAAAGAGCGACCAGGTGCAGGATCAAAAGTATTCCCCTCCTTGTTCACAGAGAAATGGGTCCTCGGGGGGGGGTAAAGGGAATCTTGGGATTCCACGAACCAAATATATTATGCGACCACTGAAGGGCTACGGCCTGTCGGTAGGTGTCCTGCAATACCCCCTATCCTCATCCATCCATCCATCCATTCACCCAACTGGTGAGAAGGTCGTGACGATGGGTAAGGTAGGGAAGTGGGAAGATAAAGGGTAGGAGAAACGGGAAGGAGGGGCTATACGGTGTGAACTCCAATACAACTGTTAGTACATATCGGCCTTCTCGCCTAGATATAGTGGCGCCGCAAGCAGTAACTTGCCAACCACCATTGGTCAGTCTCCCTTTCGCGGTGGGGTATCACCCATTATTATATTGTCTTGCCCCTGCTGAAAAAGCTTGCTAGCTAGCTAGACAGGATATGCTCTTGAGATGCCCCGCAATCTCGGTAGAGTTCTGGGACTGGTATCCGGTGCGCAGGTAGTTTTCCTTGAAAGAAAGGAAGCTCGAAACCTATGCTATCCTATCATACAATCCTATGATCTTAGGTCAATTTGGGGCGACACCAGCCTCAAGGGTTCCCGCTTCACCCGTCACCAAGTTATGTGTATCACATTAGAGCAATCGAACACGGTAGAGAATCCTTGCGGCTATCCTTCGGAAGCCGCGTTTTTATGTTGGCCTTCTTCTCCGAGCCGCTGAGCCGACGGGGACCGTCGCTAGGAAGTGGCTCTTAAGGGTGCTGATCCCTCTGCTTCATGAGCCTATTGGGTTCACACGAACGCTTCCTCCACAATCGGGAGGGAATTCAAGCTCGACTGCTCCCTTTGCTCCCTCTTCGGCATATGGTGCTTTGCCTTAGGGTTAATTCCAGACTCCACAATCATAAACCACCCGAACAACCATACCAAGCGAACCGCACTCTTAGAAGTAGACCCGCCTCCCGGAGTGAGAAGTGCCCTTTCACTGATGAACATTGTTGCTGCGATCACCGTATCCCGCAATTGGATAGTAACTTGCACCAAGTTAGCATGCAGCCAACGACCGATTCCAAATACAGGACATCAAACCAAGAGTACAGTAAAACGCATCAATAAATGGGACCTGGAGCAAACGCGAGGCCCGTGGAGAAAAATAGCTCAAAATTGGAAGGTAACCCGAGCACAACGGACAGCGAAATCATTCCTCGCCATCAGGTCCATTGTTTTCAAACACCGGGGACAAATAACCGGCAGTCAGATACCGGTAGACAGTAACAAATATCATACAAATACTTGGGTGGCAACAGGGGGTTAACTTATACTTTAACAAAACATCCCTACATCCCTCATTAGGAGCCGGCACCCAGTGCCCCCTCCCCCTCTCTAAGCCCTTCCACTCAACTTGGGCGGGGCCCAACGTCGGTTCTAAACACCCCCCTTGGTGCGCTCTCTATCTACATGCACCGCACAGTACTCAGTGATCCAGTGCCCGAGTATGGTGAGGGTTCGCTGCGGCCGGAAAAAGGTGAACATTAATTCTGGCTCAAGCTAGCAACCGTATGATATGTCAATTTTCTAAGCGCTGCCTCGTTTTACAGGTTAATCCCTTGGCAAATACATACCTACCGCTTGTGCCAGGGAAACCAACATTAATAAACATGTCGCGAATATACCGTTACCTACCAATATAAAAATTTGAGATATTCCCATCCCCTCACCACAAACCTGCGGAGGATCACCACCCTATCACCCAATCGAGCAGTAATTCCTGCCGAAGCAGCGGTTGAAGCACCCTTCAGGGACTGAAGTTGGGCAATATTGGCTCGGCAGAGCGCTCCGGCGACAGGTGCCCCTCTCCACAACTATAGGTCACTACCCAGTACCTGTACTGGTAAGCACAGCCCCAGCTTCACCCCCCCCCACCATTCCCCCCATCCGGAGGTTAGTTTTTACCGGCGTGATTTGCATTGCTCGATCCCAGCAGCGCCATCCATCGCTTCCCGTTCCCCACTCTTCAGCCTCTTTCTGTCGATTAGCGAGTGTTACAAGTTGTTTGACGATTAGTTAGACTAATTCCACTAACGGACTAATAGTTGACTAATAGTTCGTTCATTCCTCCAAACTTACGTCCCGGGCACCGGGAGCGTGAGAAGGGCAGAATGGCTTGTCGCTCTGTTGATCCGTATACCCTAGGGGGCGCTATCACACCATCTCGACAGTATCCGTCGGAGACGGTACAACACCTATCTACCCGCAACACGATAAGACACCAATTTCTTTGCGCGAAAAATGGGCTGGCTATTTTTTCTGGGAATTCTGGGTCAAAATTGGGAAGCTCAGGATACCCGAGGTGCATCACACAAGATCACTCGGATATGGAATCCAGAGAGTGGTGAATACGATGTCTAGCTATCATACAGTAGCGGTAGCGAGGTTGGCTTGGCCGCCGTCTATCGAGTTATTTGTGGATCCAAAAAGGTGTTTTGGGTCGATATGAAGGTTCACAGAATTGGGTTAAAGCGTGTTAACCTATACTTAATTGCATATTAAACAAACCGTTTGTCTAGGCAATGGCCCCAAAACGCGCTTTGAATTGACAAACGAGACAATTGACCGCACCAAACGGAGCCTTAGGTAAAGGGCCAATAGTGCCGGCAGTGCTAAGGGGAAGAAGTAAAACTAGGGAGAGCATACCAGTAGGTCAGGTGGATTCACCCAAAATGGTTGATAGGTGGAAGCTTGGGTTTCCCACAAAGACATTCCCGTCCTGCGACTATGGCACATGTATCGAGTTTGAACTAAAATAAATTCACTTTATTCCAAACATGTCTCTGATTTTCAAATACGCCAGATTGGAAATCAGCCACTGGAACGTGGGGGAATTTTGAGATTAAGCTCTACCGAGATAATTTCCAATTGCAAAGATGGATTAACCTTATATTTACTTACCCGCAAGAATAGAGTGACTCCATCGGCCCATTACCGTTTTATCAGAGGTCTCGAGGAAACAGAATTGTCTGTAGGATTCCTCCTATCATACTACGAAAAGACTCCCCTACGGAACCTCTTTTCTTTTTACCGAGACGGCGGAGGAGGAGAATTTCGGTAGAACAGCCAAATTGGGGAAAGGGTTTAAAAACCCCCCAGACTGCCCTTCTTGGGTAATCTCCTGTGAGAGGACATCATGCTGCCGTCACCTCCGAGAACAAAATTATCCAGAGGTACGGTAGACCAAACGCGGTCAAACCCCTCCCAACAGACTAATATAGAATGGATAACACCTTCCAGGAGATACAACGGAAGATGTTGAGAAAGAATAATTGACTAGTCAATCAAAAATAGGATAGTGAGTGCGGTACTTTATATGCTGACAGAAATAACCTGCAAAACAATGCTGCGAGCTCCCAGATACCGTAACCGAAATCACCTTCCTTGAAGAACAGAATCCCAGATTTTCAGTGAAAGGGTCCTCAAGCGAGGAACGGATGATACATTGTGGCTTTTTTTTCCCGCGGGTAGGTCGGGGTAAAAATTTAGAGGGAGTCCCCGAGAACGTCACGTGGACGAAACCTGCCCAATCTCTCCTTACCACACCCCACACAGTGCGGAACCTACCCCAAGCTGTCCTCTCTCACACACAATCCGCAATCCCTCTTTTGATACCCTCAGTCCAGCAATTCGCTCTACTGCCCCCAACACCAGACACTCAGCCACCCACCCATCCGTTCGTTCGTTCGTTCGCTCCCTCCACCAGCTCACCCTCAACCCCTACCCCCGCACCTCCAAAATGCCATTAATAGCCTGGCTAAAAATCAAAAGCACCCGCCGTCAGAAAAAATCCACCTCCTTCCGCACAGAAGCATCCCCACCCCCGCTCTCTAAAGGAAATGCCCCGCGATTGCACGCACCAAACTACAGCTCGCCCTCCTGTACTCACCCCCAGTCCCGCCCGGTGTCTCCGTGCACAACTCCATATAGGATTTCCGAGTCTACCCCCCCTATGTCCCCGAAGCGGACCTCACCGATCCCTTCGCAAACAGTGTCCCCACTAACACCTCCAGAGAGCATCCGCAGCGAGGGGCAATCTTGCATTACTGGCAGCGAGAGCTCCCCCAAAATAAATAGAGGGAGCGGCATTCCGTTACATCGGGAGAGCGCCAGTATCGATTCGGCAGGACTTGGTGAGGGCACTCCCAAGAGAGCTAGGAGCCCAGGTGGAGGAAAAGGGAGAGATGGCGGAGCCCCACTTACACCCCCGCAAACTCCAACTCCTTCCTCCATATGTGGTAACAGCGATGTTGGTGATCACGACAATGAGGACGGCCGCGATCCCGGCGATAGCCATAGCAATAGAGATGTAAATGTCTACGCTCCCACCCTCCCAGACTCACACGATCTCCACCCACTTGCTGGCCGCAAAGAAGAGCTCGTCGAGCTATTCACCCAGCATGGACCGATATATGGCGAAGAGTGGAGACTGCGCGGGGCCTATTGTAAGATGAAAAGCCCGGGAGCCCGGACACTTGCTGAAGATATTGAGTCCGTAAATGAGGAGCTCATGAATGAGTATGCCAGCGGAGATGACGGTAGTAGTGAGATGTGGGCGATCCAATTGGAGGGCGGGCATTGATATATTTTGGTAACGACTGCAATTAGCGGTTGACATATTGGTTGAATGGGGTCAATCTATGCTAATCTCTCTCTCTTTCCTTATTTGCTTTCACTTGGGTATTGGTGATTGCGTGGCGTTATTTTCCGTTCTCTTGGGGTATTTCATGAGAAAGTCTAGCGGTTCATAGATTTTCACTCTGCTTTACCTCCTTACTTTGTTACTTAATTAGAACCGGGGTGCTCGAGGATGTAATTCCAGAACGGCTCTA